ATTAAAACAGGCATGTAAATGAGTTTGCACATACTTTTTCTTTCTTCTAAAACTTTATATGCACCCTGCATGCAGACCTCTTGAACCTGGAAGCAAGCTCTATGTAAATATCACCCTTTTCAGCTGAGTTAAGGTCTGACATGTCCATACCTCCCCTGAGACTTTCTGGCTATGTACACTGCATCCTCAGCAATAACCCATGTACCATACTGCTTAGTTATCATTCCAAGTACTGTAGCAAAAGGGTTCTGGCATTAAATGTCATCTACATAGAAGACACAACCTCTCTGTCAGAATAATAGCTTGGAAGACGTGGGGGAAGTGACAATTCAACAAAAACTGGGGGCTTTAGATGAAAATAAAGTGTGAATCATAAATGCAAACCATGCAAACCATGCAAACACACTGTGTGTTTTAGTCTTCTCTGCTGGTAAATAATAACACCAGATTCCATTGTAAATATTTTAAATAGCCTTTGATATTTGGGTTGTAATATTTAACACAGGACTTTGGTACCCCTACAGTAAGTACCCTCTCCAAAATATGTTTATGTGCCATCCATGCTATGCATTTACTTACATCCTGTTCACAGATGTAACAAAAGTTTACACTTGTTGTAACAAAAGTTTACGCTTGTTGGGTCCTGTTTTAGAACTCCACTGCTCTATTTTTCTTGTTTTAAAATATGCTTTTGATCTTTTTATTAAAAAAACCTGTGTGCCACTAATTTCAACCTGCATACATTCCATACAATGTATACACAAAACACATGTATTTACAACCATACACATGTCACAAATATCAATGTACCTATTCCTTATTTTAAATGTATCAATACATACACCTTTGTTAACAGCAGTATAAATCATAAAAGCTATTTGTACAAACAATATATATCTTGTTATCCTATACTCAATTTTGGAGAGCATAGTACTGGGTATTAATAACAACAATAAATTAGGATCAAATATTACAAAATAAGATATAAAAAAAATGTAAGAAAAAAATTACTATTAACCAGCACTGACTCAATGTAGGAGACAACCCTCCACAGATTACAGACTGAAAACTTGATGTGAGTGTATATTCAAAGTGAAAGTATATTTTTTTATGGCAAAAGTTAACTGCCTCATTAGCTTTATCCTGAAGCCAACCCCATAAAAAGCAAATACATTGGCCTGCAGCCAAAGATTACTGTAGTATGGTAAAAATAACCTATTATTGCTGAGTGGTTGTGTTCACTTTTCAGACTATAAATTAGCAAAAAAAATACACAGGGACAGCAAGGGACTTCTATAAGAAAAAAAGCTGTGGGAGACTCCCATGACCTGATAGTCACTGTAGACCATACAAGATCACTGCAAGGTAAGGAAAAAAGTATTGCAAGAAATAATCTGCAGACTTCAGTGAACACCTAAACTAGGTGTAAACTGTTAATGGATGGCATTTAAATGCCAAATTACTAAAGGGTGAAAAGTTTGGAGACGGCAGGAGAAGTGAACAATCTAGACCAACATAGCTGATTTGGAAAAATGCTCCAATTCAGCTCACTTTCCAGTTCAGCTATGTTGTCCCAGATTGTTCATTGCTCCTGCCTTCTCCAAACTCTTCACCCTTCAATGAATAGCCTTTTTGTTTACTTAAGCACTGTGTATAATATACAATTGGCTTTTTTTAAAACTACTGCATTTACTTTTGTGTAATCTTTTGATTTATCTCAGTTCTGCTGATCTTCCATAGCCACTTTGAAGCCACTCCCCATCTACATGCATGCCCTAAAACAGTGTCTCCACAGCATTGTTCTGCACCGGATTTCTAATAGTGACAATAGTGGAAAATACCTGTGCATTGAGAGCTGCATTAGTTTCCTTTTTAAGGCCTTTTCCCTTTATTTTTACTTGGCGATCTTGCCAGTAACACTGTTTCCTAGTGTAACAATGCTCACTCACAAACAGTGTTCACTTCAGATCGGTCATTCACTCCGCTGCCCTCAGCAGCTTAGTGAATAGACCCCACTGTGTTGTATCTATGGAGGAGCAGCATCGTCACCCAAGGCTTTTCTCTTGCTTTAGACTACAAACACCTCCCCCTCTCCTCATGTTCATTACATTGCAAAGAAGGGTTGTGTAGTTCATAGAGGATAGCTTGGAAAGCGGATAACTTTGCTCGATTTTTCAGTTTAGTACACAGGACATTACAAGGATACTGGATTTCTCTCAGTACTGATAGGGATTTTTGTGTCATTTAAAAAAAAAATATTTGTGACAATTTTTTTTAGCTTTATGGACTTTATTTTTGTATGCGTTAATGTTTTAAAAAAAAAAATATTTGTGACTATTTTTTTTAGCTTTATGGACTTTATTTTTGTATGCGTTAATGTTAATCTTGGGACCGGCAGCCGCGGCGATGGAGACAGTGGGAGGGGCGCACACCCGCACCTACTACAAGCGATCGGGCATCTCTAGAGACGCCCGATCCCTTGAATGTACATTTCTGACTGTTTCTTCACTCGTATGCGCTCTGGGCACCGCGCACGAGCGGGGGGAGGGGAAGGACATCTTAAGACGCCCTCCAGCTCCTATAAGGCTCCGGTCCGGCCGTTCAGGAATGGCCACCGACGGCAAGTGGTTAAAAGTCTTCCTCTGGAGCTGTGGGCATAGCGTTCTGTTTAGGCTTTTCTTCTTCCTTTTTTCCCCCCTCCGTATCTCTATAGGTTGAACTCGATGGACTTGTGTCTTTTTTCAACCTGACTAACTATGTTTGCACTATGTATGTACTATGTATAAACACTTTAATTGTTGCACACCTTGTAAGGGCATAGGAAGACTATATAGATGGTACATGGAAGTCACCCAAACAAAAGGCTTAGTTTACTGTTCTGACCATATTTCATGTTGCACACATATTCAGGGTGTAATATGAAACATGGTCACATTGCATACTTAAAGAGAACATTTAACAAGCAAAACACAGAGGCTGATTGCTTGGCTGTCATGTTGACCCTGGAACAAGTATGCATCACAAAAACCTGTGATGAAAAAAATACGGAAGGTAAATGGAATATGCATTTGACAGGTTTCTTTTACTTTCCAAAGTAAAAGTATATATTATCCAGCCCTGATATTTACAAAGGTCCCTCATACACCACATAGCCAGATGCCATAGCTAGGTAACATAAGAAATACAGTGGTGTAATCTCCCCACTCTCAGTATGCTGACTAGACAATGAAAGAGTGGCAGTAGAATAATCAGGTCATCTCTCAGCTATTTAATTCTGTCAATGTGTGCCTTGTTGGTACTTCTGCACTCCTTATCAGTTTACCCCATATGAGTGGGTGCTGAATTGACTGGTGATGGCACAGCAAAGTCCAAATGAAACCATAGCATGTCACCAGCACACCAAGATCAAGTGTCCAAATGTGTCTTTATTGGCGTGAACACATCTTCTCAAATAACAGGCAACATTTTTGGGCTACTTTTGGGTTTCTTCATCAGGCACAGTATGACAAAATGATATAGTGTCAGTGAACTAAAATTTAGTGAGTTATTCCTAAGATTCACTAAGAATTACAGGCCTACAATATAAAACAACAAATTGCCATGAAAAACAATGTACCGCTGTGGCATGCTAAAATCCTGCATAATCATACCGCCAGGGATGTTAAATGAATTTATTTCACTGACATTTTATCATTCTGTCATACTATGCCTGATGAAGGCTTCCAAAGTGGCACCGAAATGCTGCCTGTTGTTTGACAAGATGTGTTCACACCAATAAAGACACATTTGGATGCTTGATCTTGGTGTGCTGGTGCATACTATGGTTTCATTTGTTAGTTAACTTGCACACCTGATTGGCTCCTTCGACTTTTCCACTCAGTTTTAAGCCTCATATGCAGCACCACATTGATTTGTCTTACTATTCATGTACAGAGTAATGTGTATT